ACATATGAAGTTCTGTGGTCTTGGTGTGATTCAGGAGTGAAGTTGTAACATTGTCGCATTTTTCATTCGATTCAGTTTGCTTTCACACTGCCCTTTGTCAAGCGCACCAAAGCCTGTCAAATGTTCTGTGACGTAGCAACCCACCACTAGTTTGAGCTACAGCTCCGGTCAGTCGCTACTGCCGTCCGGCATAATGCTTCACTTTGACCCACAAGTAAACAACAGGACAGTGGAAGAATGGCATTCAGTAGCGCGGCACAGTTTGAGAGTATTTTGATCTATACAATGGAGATAAAGTTATATGTCGACTGTGTCGGGTTAAACTGGCATACCGACCTGAGTGATGTGTGACCACATATAGCACAGGCATGTGGACGTTGACCTGCTTGTAGGATTGAAGGCTGGTGTTGTTACCAATGCTAACTTTGGCCACGATCGGAAGACCTCTTTGACATTTTCTGTTTGTTCTGGATTATCTAGCCAAATTCAACCCAGAATGCACTGCTTTTTGGTTCACTTACCTTGTTTGGCTCGGATCACGTTCTCATCTATGGTGAACTGAACTCTGGTGCACTTGGAAACGAACCAAGATCCCTGTTTCAACCAGCCCAAAGTTGACATATTTGTTCCGCACCAACCACCTCCGAACTAAAAGAGCTATCCAACAAAGTGCGCAAGAGTGCTTTACAAATGAACCAAACGGCTCCGGCGTGAATGCACCCTCAGTAGCAGTAATATTTCTTGACTAATTTAGTCTGAATGGCCAACCAGCCTCCAGCCTTGGTCCAGTTCCTTTTCCCATTCATTACTGAACCTTATCCTGGCATTCAATCTGAATTGTGCACTGAATAGTCCATTATGCATATAAAGGCCATTGCAGCCTCAATATTGGTCGATTCATCAAACATTTATCTGTTGCCTTTTGAGCAAGATGTCATTATGGCTGTCACTCTGCAGCTTCGGCCCCTCTGTATGGAATAACAGTGCATTACTTTTCTGGACCTCTCTGATCCCTGAGAGAACATCAGACACGTGTTGACTGTAGCTTTGACAGCCCCACAAGCTTTCAAAGTGCATGTGTGTCAGTACACAATAGACTCAAGAACTTTTCCCCCGTTGCTGTGCTAGCTGCTGAAATGTTGCATCTATAATCTCTGTCATCTTTGGAGGAAGAGAGAAGGGCTTTAGTTCTTTTTATATTATTTCTCTGCTGTGTACGACTAAGACAAACTACATATTTGATCTATCGCCCTGAGAGCCTCTGAAAATTGCCAACAGTTTTAAAAGCAGCCAAGCAAGACACAAGATGGGACTCTGCAACACATGTAAAAGAGCCCAGACTGCCGTTCTCCATTTTTCATGTGTTGCCCTGAGGATATCTGACATGACACTGGTGCACACCATTGGCAGGAGTGACTGACATTTCAGCCAATAATGGTGGAGAGTTTTCTTCCCTCTGTTGTCAGCAGTCGTTTATCAATCACTATGTCTGCATTAGTATTAGAGTATTGATCTGGCAGGGCTGCTCTCTGGGTCAGCGTCTCCTCTCCGGTGTCCTTGTCTGTGTTCCTCACATCCTCCAGTTCCTGCTCCAGCGTAATATCACTGTGTAGACTCTGTATGTTTAAACAGGATAATAAAAAGAACTCAGCGCATACATGGGCCTCTTATGTAAACTCTAGAGCGCACACAGACTGAAGCACACTGGGGCTGTATGATGTATGATGGCGAGCTTACACGGGCTAAGTGGCAGTCAAAGCGTACAGACAGGCCGTGTGAAGTATTAGCTCTGACAATGAGGCTGATCATAATTATCTTAACAAGGAGAGGATTCATCGCCTCACCTCGTTAAAGCTACCGCCTCACCCCCCCCCCCCCTCTCTCTCTCTCTCTCTCTCTGTCTCTCTCTGTCTCCATGTCTCTCTTACTGAGCTAGTGTCTAGGTTTAAGAAAACGAATGTGATTTCACTTTTCAGTTAAAATATGTTTCTAAATTGGTTGAATGAGGTGAGATGTTTGATCAAGAAAAAAATTCAAAAATTGTTAGAAGCTTACAAATAAAAAGATTCAGTTTTTTGTTTGTTGTTGCTGTTGATACTGATAAAGAGAAGCAACTGGAACTTTCATCTGTGTAAATCCCAGTATGAGAAGTAGGCAAAATGGCTGTAATTGTTGGAGTAAAATTAACTTCAAATAAAGTTAAAATTGTGTAAAGATCCCGTACATATTTGCATAATCGTATAAACTTATTAAATCTTACAGAAAATTGTTATTTTATGTTTCCCGTCTTTAAAACTTCTGTGTTTTATTTGTGTTTACCCTGCATTTCCCATTTACCAAATCTGTACAGCACTGGGACGCAAGTCAATTATGGTCATTAGTTTTCTAAAAAGCGAAAGCTGCTCTGTTTATTTTTTGTTTTGTTTTTTGAAGTGAGGTACTTTAACTGCAGTGCTTCAACTTTGTTAGTTTTCCAAGCCACACATTAAAAACCAGAAAGCTTATAAAAAGTAATGAAAGCAGCTATGGAAATGTGCAGGGGGAGCACAGAAAGCTGGAGAGTATTAGAAGTTCAATCCCGGCTGCACTGTAGTTAATGCTGGATGGGACTCAGTGGCTCTCCCCTGGCTGTGAATTTAACTGATTAAATCAGCCAGTGCACGCAGCAGTGGTGACATGAAAACAACAATTAATAAGGCTCCCTCCTGTGCCACGAGGCTCCCTTTAACCGAGCAGCTAATAACATAACCCACAGGACTGCAGCCCATCAAGCTCACATACACACACACACACCCACACGCACACACACTCACACACGCACACACACACACACCAACACACACACGCACACTTACACACACACACACATAAACATATGCACACTTACAGGTGGCAATAGTTAGCAACTTCTGTTAACAGCTAATGTAATGTTTAAACTACTACATTGAACTTGTAGATTTATTTCATGTTGCCCAAAAATAATATGGTATTTTTTTCAAAACACAGTCGAATACTTGCATACTGCTTTTGCTACCTACACATTTCTGTACATTCGTACAAAAGCAGAGCGAGACACAGGCGGCATTTTTAAGATATTTTTGTACAACAACAACATCTGTGATTCGACCACAGAGATACCCAAACAGTAAAGATATAAAAAGTCAGTGTGGACGAAATGCAAAACTCTTACTAACACTATAGATAACTTATGAAATGTGCCTTTGCTTTCATAACAGAGCAGCACCATGGGACCAAAAACCAAGCAAACAGAGTAGGATTTAATAAAACTGGCACATCCCTCCATTCATCCATCTTGCCAGTGCATTAATCAGACTTGATAAGAGGTTGTCAGCTAGCGGCTCTGCCAGCACACAGGCTGGGCTCTGTCGAGCTGCTGTTGTTGTTGGTATCAGGTGTTTGTGTTGGTGCAAAATGTTGATGTCTTTAGAAGAAGAGGTGGCTCTCTTTGCCTCAATTTGCACGTCCGGGATGTATTGCTGATTTGTACATTTCCACTCGAGAATATAGTGGCAACGTTTTGCGACAGCATTTCAGCATTTGGTTCAAAGTTTCTGCCAGTTTGAGGCTCCATGGTTCTATGTTTGTTATTGTATAAGGGACTATGTTATGGTGTAGTCCAAGCTGGCTGATCAAAAAATACCACACAAGTAACAGCAGCTGGAGCACCAGTACTTTGTGCACTGCTTTATTTTGCAAAAGTTGCGTTTTTAAATATATTAATCTTTTTTTTTTTTCCCAGTGTGTTCATACTTTTCCATAAAAAAATGGGACTGTAAGTTATGCCCCGCCCCCTGCTGCTTCCTGCCCCCCGCCATCCATTTGCAGATTGTAATTTAAAAAAAAGGTTTTATATTTACACAGCCCTAAGTTGGTGTGTATTATGGCAGCCATTGAGGCTGTGCAGATCCAGGGAGGAGCAATAGTTCACGCTGCAGATGTTTAGACCTCACTGTACCTTGAGTTTGTCATAATGCAATGTGACACTGTTCAATGGAATTTATATTTACCTCACCTAATGTCAAGGTTATCCGTCTGCTGTCGATGCCAGAAACACACTGTGATATACTGTCAGTTACATATAATGTGTTTGATTACCAAATACAGTGTTGACTTAACTCGTACCTGTTGTACGAGCTGTGATTTTGAAAAGTATACTGTCTCTATCAAATGTCAGTGAAGTCCCCCAGGATGCTCTAACATGGCATACTGACAGTGTGAAGGATTAGACACAACACACACATTGCGGTTGTCCACCTTCCATGACTTGAACTTTGCTCGGCCCCTAACATTACTCCTAACTCCACCCTCCATCATTTCAATGCGTGTGTGAATGTGCATGTGTGCGCGAGAGAGGGACACCGTTGAGTAGACCCTTCACCGCTCTGTGCAATGCGTCGTATAAACGGAGCAGAAAAATGCAGAATTTCTCCTTTGGGGAAAAAAAAAAAGAAAAAAAAAAGGACGTCTTTGATGTTAAAAGGCTGACACTAAACCCCTATCGTGGCACAGTCGCAAAGAAAAAAAAGTTTCCCCTCTGTTCCATCTGTGATTGTGAGTGTATTCCGGTTCCTCTGTGAAAATGATGGATGACAAGTTAAATTTGTGTCTGGGGAGTGAAGGTGAACTGTGACAGAGTGATTTGTCTTGGGAATGGAGGGTTAGGGTCAGGCGAAACTGGGCGCCTCAAGGCACAAGACATTGACAAATTCATCCTGCCCGCCGCATTTCTGAAGCCTTTTGTTTTGAATCCTGGCTACTCACAAGTGACCCCCATCCCTCATCCTGCCAGCCGCTGAAGGATGCCTCACCATGCCAGGGGAGCTCAGCACCACTAATTCTTGTCATTCACTTCCCTGACAGGCCCGGACCCATACTCTCCTGGCGTATGAAAGAAGCAGGCTGAAATATTTATTTCTGCACAATAACGGCTGAGCAGATTTAGAGCCATAACAGTTTTTCCTGTTGCCTTGTCATTGCAGGTCGCTGGCAGGCCTCAAAATGTTCACTGAGCTGGAAGAGCTGGTCGTCGACAACAATCTTCTCGGAAATGACCTCCGGTTTCCTAGGTTACCCAACCTCCACACCCTCACACTCAATAAGAACCAAATATCCTTTCAGACTGTATAACTCAGTCTGTTTCTCAGTTTGATTTAAGGTCTTCTGTGCAGACATGGGTTACAGGCTTAAGTATCAGAATCCAGTTTATTTTTCTTGCATTCAAAAGGTAATACAATCTGACTGTGTTGCAAAAAAAAATCTTTTTTTTTTAAATCCAATGATTTTGCAAGAAGCTATGTGTGCTGCAAAATAAACTAGAAGAACTTGTGTCGCAGAGATCCACACAGGACTAGTTTTTGAACCACAGGGACCTCTAGTGGAATCACATTTAAGAGTCAACAGAACAGATGGGGCTTTTTTATTTTTAAAGATATTTAAAAAAAATTTGGGATTGAAAATACATTGCAAGAATGAGACGTAAATCTATGTTATGTGTTTGCAGTCTTGTTATATATCAATTAGTTTAAATTAAAGGGGTAAAATTCTTCAAATCATATTTTCTACATTTGCATTCAGCCTTTCTTATACTGTTTTAACACTCTGAAATAAAATAAACTAGTTACTAAATTTGTCACTAAACACAGCAGCACATGCTCACAGTTTTGGCTCATTGGTTATAACGGCCCTGTGTGTTCCACCGCCCAAAGTAAACACATTAAAAGCAGAGCTCTGCACAGCCACCCCTAAATTCAAGACACAGACACGCTGAGAGGCTGTTTATGATCAGTCAAAAATGTGTGAACTTCCCCTCCAAGCTTCAGAACAGGTTTAGCAATGTGTCCTGTTTTTCTCTGGTTATGCAGATCCTACTGGGTAACGATGCTCACGCTCCCTCACAAATTCACGCACACACACACACACACACACACTTCCAGAGTCAACATTAAATCTGGGGCTCCTTGAAGTGTGCGTCTGGGACTGTGTGCTGGCTTTTTTTTTTGTGAAGTGGTCGGCACATGCTAATAGGCCAATTATGTACATCCTGTCGTGGCACGGTGCCATTTTAAAGCTCGAGTTCTGCATTAGTGCAGTTGTATTTTGACACTTTGGGGCTCAATTTTCCAAGTGAATGTATTAGTGATGAATGTGCCTGCTTAGGGGCTGTTTGTTTTTTCCACGTTTTCGCAAAAAACTTTTCCACAGCACAGCTCTGGGAAGCACGGACTGTTTGAACCACAGGGCATCCATCATTTTGTCACTGTTCTGCACCCGGCCACCTAGGAAATGAAAGAGATCGAGAGAAAAGGGAGAGAGAGCGGCAGCCAAATTGTGTCACTACTATATGCCAAAGCCTGCACCTTAAATTGCCCCTCTGTCTGCCCGCTTTCACAAAGCCGGTGACTAGGCCCTTTGAGCAGCTCGCTAAATTTGACAGTGACGTGTTTTAGCGCAGACAGGCGCAGGAGGGGCTGTACTGGGAGTAAATGCTAATGTAATTAACAGCGCTAGGTCCTTGACATCCGCCCTTTGACACCTGACTGATATCGAGGCCCTGCTGGAACACTTGGCTGATGTGACCCCGTCACTGGAGTACCTAAGCCTGCTGGGAAACGAGGCCTGCCCCAACCAGCTGGTCAGCCTGGATAAGGACGAGGACGACTACCAGAGATACAGGTCTGTAAATACATGGACTATGATTATGTTTCACATAAATAAAGGAGTCAGTATTGCTTTGACCTTTTTTTTAGAACGATTGATACACATAAAGATTGTGTTCTGTGTGTGTTGATTTTGTGCTTTTATTGGTTTAACCCTCTCTCATTGTGGTTTGAGCTTCAGAGTCGCCTCAAAATATACAATTTTATTTGAACAGAAGATCATAAAAAAAAAGATAATTTCACCTGTGTGTGCACGTTTCTTATTGCTGAATGCTGCTTATTCATTGTTTAAGGTTGTTTCTATTTCTATGGCCTTTTTTGTTCTTTAAAGCTCTCATGAAGAGTTTTTATCTTTTTACTAAATAGACTGAAATTAATGTCACTGCCTCTTTATGACCTACAAAAGAAAATAATGTACAGTAGATCAACTGCTTCTATAACGGAATTCTTAAAGTCTAAAACCGTCCCTGCGCAGGGTAGGTGTCAGTTAAAGTTGTTAACAGTACACTTGTGAAGCAGCTTCTTTAATTTTTGTACATTTTCCACAATTAATATTCTCTGTGACTGATAGATTTGACTGTTAAAATCAAACCAGGATACCGTTTTTGAGAAGAGAGAAGATCAGCAAAGCGATGAAGACAATTAATACCACATTGTCCACAGGGGGCGCTAAGACTTTCACAAACCGAAAGTTCCTCACAGGAGCTTTAAGATGCAACTTTTCATGCTGCTTTCTTTATCTGGAATTGACAAGATTCTTTTTATTTTTTTTAATCTAAATGGGAATATTCCTGGTAAGATAAAGATTAAATAACATAAAAATAAATATTTTTTTTTCAGTCAGACAGTTTAGAGTGGTACTTTTTGTAAGTAATGGATGTGGAGATGTTCCTTTTTTTGTTACAACCACCCCCCTAAATTTCGCGAGCAGACCGTGGATTCAACCACATCACTCTAAAAGCTTTGTCAACCGGCCCCTCTACACTCCAGTTTGCAAAATGGATTTCATGTGTGACTAGTCACTACCACAAATGAGTGTTTACTACCCTGCCTTACCAGAGCGGATGATGCATTAAACATCAAGCTCGGCCTCAAGCCATGCAATATGACCACCATTTGTCAGGGTCCTTTACATGAAATGCGATAAAAGGCGAAAAGCATACTCTCTTTTGTCTGTTTTAGCCCTAAGTGCTTGTTTCTGACTCTGTGTTGCCTATTAATCATTTACCACCCATGCCTTTCTTGAATAATCCTTCCTCTCTCTTTTTGTCTACCTCCTTTTTCTCTCTCTTTGCCTCCCCTGCTCCCCCTCTCTGCTTATCTCACTGGTGAGGGAAGCTGTTCTGTTTTGACTGACAACGTCTAGGGTCCTGTAATGTAATATTCATAATGTGTCACATAGTAAAACATCAATTTGAGCGTGATGCAGATTTCATGTCTGACAAGGTTAGGCTGTATGCAGGTCGTGACAGCATTGGCCTTGGGCAATAAATACCCAGCCCAATGCCTCGGGAGCTCTCGGCCTCTCAAGTGAAATAGCCTGGTGCGTTGCATCGGTGCCCCAATTAGTGCAATGACATAGAAACATAGTATCCGTTCACACAGTGCTGTGTAGCCTGCACAGAGGTTAAATGTCCTCTCCTTAAATCACAATGCATACACTCAGTGGTCGTTTGTAGTACTACGATAATGTAAGAACGCAGTGCTCTGATGTCATGTTCATGATAGGTTCCAATAATGCAGCATTGTACTAGTATGGTTCAGTGTCTCCTCTAAAAAACAGTTCTGTTTGTTGAACCGGAAATATTGTGATTCAGAACTTTGCTGTGATGTATAATGATTAACACATTTTGACGTGACATTTTAACCTCTAATCTCGAGGAAAGTTATCAGCCTGTCAGATCTTCTTTTGTTTCAGATCAAAGAGTTTGTGCATGAGGTGCCTCAACAACCGGCTGTACTTTGTGTTCGCTCAACCTTTATTCTGAATTCCATTAACTCAGCCGCATAATTGTCAATGACTTTTATGTTATCGTCCATAAATGTAGTGCAAATGTAATGTAGTAAGACTTAAATTATGGGATCCATAGTCTTGGAACATCTCGGAGCAAACTGATATGTACGTGTATATCTAAGGAAGGTCTTTGGAGTTTATTTGGATCAACTGTTTGAATCTCACATCCATCTACATATACTAAACTAAATCTCTATATACATCTATATCGTAATAAATTAATAAAAAGTATCACTGATGTTGTTTCAGTTATGGTGATTGCACTTCTGATCATCATACTTCTGTGTGATTCTAAATAAAGTTAATAAAAGAAGGAATTGGTCCTGGGGCACTGATGGTCCAGCGGTTTGGTCACACCCCATGTAAGGAGGTTATAGACCTCCAAGCGGGCGGATCAGGTTCAGGACCAACTTGTGGATCCCACATGTCATTCCCACTCTCTACAGATTTTCTATACTCTATCCACTGTCCTATCAAATAATTATTAATAATAATTAAAAAAATTAAGTTCCTTGGAGAAGTACATGGTCGATTGATAGACCTTCAAACAGTATGTAATTTACCTTTAATGTGAATCTTTTACGAAAGGAAGTGGAGAACATGTGCTGAGGGTAAAATAGTTTTCTATTTTGAATGTACAAGCATCATATAATCCAATTAAAAATATATCCGTACATGTAAACTGCATTTAAATACAATTTCATTAGCTTTTAGAGTCATATGATTCACGGTCTCATCTCAGGGAAATCTTTCTCGATATCACTCAACTGTCACCTCTGAACAATATGCTGTTCTTTTTTTTAACCTAAATAACCGATTACATAACTCTTAATGTGACAATGACAAGTATTAGGATATCATTGAACCCATTATTTAAGTCATTTTGAACTATGATAATGTAACTTAAGTTGCGGTACGTCACCTATATCAACCACTTCCAATAGCAGCAAAACACATGTTGGTCACCACTAAATAAAGCACAAGGGTCTCCCCCCCACCCCCTCAGTAATCCTGCCCTCCCCTCCTGTGCTCTCTTATCCTCCCTCCCTGGTTGGCTTGAATCATTAATATCCCTACTGGCTGACAGAGCCTTGTCATCTGCTCTGACCCTGTGATGGTAGGTTACCTATGGAGAATGACCTCTCTGCATGTCTCCCAAGGGCATCTTCACATTTCATCATGGAAATGCCTCTGAACAAAGTCCTTTTTTTTACAGGGAGGGAGACACACAGGATGGGATTGGGGGGCCTCTTGGATTTGAGTGCTGGAAAGGGAGCTCTTATTAGGGGTCAGGAGGAGGTCATTTTACTCTAAGATAATGTTCCAATAAAAGGTGTTTGAAGCCTGTGGGATATTAAAATGTTTTCTTATTGCCTGTAATCTCTCCCCCTTTTCTGTTTTTTATTCATTTTGTGTTTTCCTTTCTTTTTTTCCTCAAGATATTTTCTCTACCGTGTCAGTCTAAACGGGAACCTTGCATCCCTTCCTTATAATCTTCAGGTGTTGAAAACTTGACACAAGCTTCACCATCTCCCCTCATCGCCATCGCCATCATCAATTTGTCATGGCTCTTTGCGCACAGGTCTTGTCTGTGCCCATACTCCCACCCCATCCTTTCTCACCCTCCACTTAGGTGCTGCATACATGTCCTCCTTTCTTTTCTTTTTCTTTTTTGGCTACCACCTCAGCTCAGCCCTGACATACTGGTTCCTCTATCCCTGCCTGCCTGTGAAAGGATCTGTTGTCATCTATGTATTCCGACCATTATCTTTTGACGTTTCTCTCCCTCCCAATGAAAGACAGAGTGTGTCTGAAAGCTTAGAGAGATATCTGTGATGCTGCCAGAATGACAGCTCTGGCAGGCGGGTTGTATCTCCTTTCGTGCTATTTATATGTCGTACTTATTCCTATCAGCTTTGAAGCTTATAACATACAAGAAAGTATCGCCATTAAATCTGCATCACCATTAAATCTCTGTAAACACGGCTTCTTTTCAAGTTAAGTTGATGCGTGCATTTACATATTAGAAAATGTGTCAGTTTGATTAGTATGTGACAGTTTACACACTTCCTCAGATTCTCTGTTTGTCTCTTTGTTAAGAACAGGCCTACAAGGAGAACTTTTAAAGGGAAGCACTTTTGTTAAAGGGTTGTTGTTTTTTCGTCCTCTTGCAGGTACTTTGTTCTGCACAAGATGCCCCAGCTGAAGTTTCTGGACACGAGGAAAGTAACCAGAAAAGAAGTGATGGAGGCGCAGGCAAGAGGAGCCTTCATGAAAGTGGTCAAACCCAAGTCAGAAGTTGTAAGTTAAGCCTGATTTTTGTTTTGTTTCAAGTAGAATTCTTTGCATGCTTAACTATCAGGCTTCCTTTAAAAAGGTCTCAGTACTCTGGCCCTTCACAGAGAGTCTCTCTTTCTTCAAGTGTGCATATGTTTGTGCGTTGCGTGTGTGAGCACATGTGTGTAAATGTGTGTGACCACGGCCTGACCTGATTCCGTATGCATGAGCCCAGATCAAAGACGACGGGCGGCTGTCCAGTCGCGCTTGTGTCGCCAAGTGTGACATGGCTGGCGATTGGAGTGACAGCTCACGTACACGCTCGCTCACAATCGCTCAATTATCCCGAGCCCATGCACTTATTCCTCCCTTTCTTGTTTCGGGCCACACAGACTAATTAGAGTTTGGAAGGTTCATCGACACACACCCCCCCCCCCCTCCTTTTTTGTCACCCATTCTACTGCTTCTTTGATAATGCAATATAAATGAACAGCTTTTGCCCAGATTTGATTTCATGTAATTGTAAGGTCATGAAATATTTACCGTTCGGATCAGCTAAGCTTTGTCGTTTCAAGGTCTCTGGGGCTCTGACAGTGAGCCTGGGAGGTTAAAAATGGATCCAGAGTAGCAGGAGTGAAGGCATCCAATGACATATCAGAAGCATGTGAGTCAGCATCGGGGTTTAAAAGTACAGAAAAAAAAAATGTTGGCACAGACAATCAGTTAAGATAGTGTACTCTCTTAGTGTCAGATCATGCTATGATTTGTTCTTCATGCAAGAGAGCAAAACACTGAAATAATTTAACCTCCGTCTGACTTGTTTGGTAGATAGAGAAGAGTGAAATGAAAACACCGCTCATCCACTTTATATGAAACGAAACCAAGGACCTCTGCAATGCTTTTTGGCAGGGTGAAGTCTCTTTATACGATATTATTTACATAGCTTGTCAGTGAGTAAGAAATGTTTGCCTTTGTCGCCACAGCTTCAGATGAAAGGAGAGATAATCATTGATTCTAGCTGACGTGATGTGTGTGTGTTTTTGTGTCTTCATGTCTTTGAACCTGCTTCAACGGTAATTTATTCCCATGCAAAGTAAAAGGTTATAGCTTTGATTTAAAAAAAAAAAAAAAAAACACTTCCACCCTCCAATGCACACAGTATTTTATGAGACTGAACATGCTTTTTCTGTTCTGTACACGGTTTTATTAGCAGTGTTTGACCTGAAAAGTCATCACTAAAGAAGAGAATCTTTGCCTGGAAATATCCCGAGTCTGGGCTCTTAAGACGTCACTGCAGCATTTCCATAACATAGATGAGAAGTGATGTGTCAACTACCGCTGACTTGATGAGCCATGAGTACCTCCCGGCTCTAATTGTCCACATCATCACAGTGATTGTGAGCTGACCAATAGTGTGGGCCGCCAATTAATGAAACGTCTGCAATAGAGGGAGAACGCGAAGTGAGATGATGGTTAATTAGATATTTGTGTTTGCTTTTATGTCTGCTACAGCAGGGTGTTGCTCAGAACAGTGGCTCAGGTACACTGTCTGCCATTTGCTTCATTACAAAGAATGGTAATTAGCTGTCTCACTGTCACTTGTGCATTTGAGTCTCAATTAGTGCAAGTACTTGAGGGGGGAAAAAAGCATCACAGACTCCATTAAAAGGTTTACTCGATGAAATTATTTGACTGTGGGTGTATCTTTTTAAGTTCTTTGCCCTGCACACAGTTAGTTTTCCTCTCAGACCTTATATGTCAATTCTCCTTCCTCATGTTTACAAAAGATAAATTGAAACCATAGAAACAGCAGCAACTGCAGCAGGGTTACAGTTAAACATGCCACTTATGACAGCATACAAGTGAAGAAAGAGCCCCTTCTATCAGATCATTCCACTGCATGATGTATGTATTGGAATAGTTAATGGACTCGCTATAAAAGAGACACAGCTGAACTTTTAGACCTCTCTTGAGTCATATCGGAGCAGACTGTGACCACGGTTGTAACTCCTTTTCAATCATGCCATTATGGCATGGCACTGAGCGGCGCCACATGGTTCTGATAAAGCAGTTATGGTCTTTAGCACAATCTGAACGCCATAACTTTCATACGTTTCCAATGTTTTCCATGTCGGCGAATCACTACCAGACACTCAATGGTTAGTTGTTATGCAGGAAAGGCCCAAACACACACAAATACAGACAAATACAGACAAATACACACGTGAATTAGTCTGAGAGAGAGATTTGCAAACTAAAAAATTACCAAAGAAATTGCAGCCTGTAGAAAAGAAATAGGCTATCAATGCGTCAAAGTTAAACCATTGTTGCCCACAAACATAAGTTTTGTTTGCATAGATGTATTTTCATGCATGTTTTTGAGTTTTTAGTAAAAAAAAAAAAAAAAACAGTTAATTAAATAAAATGTAGTTCCAAATCATTGAGGTTAGCTTGCCGTGGTGTTTGCCTTTGTCAAAAAAGGAACATGCTATCATAAGTTCTAACGTAATAAACATTTAACTCACATCAGCTGATGTTGGCTGAAGCTGTTTTAAAAAAATGCATTTTGAGCAATAAAAGTTCACATGAAACAACAATTAGAACTTATTGGCTCGCCACCTTATCTTGTTTTTCCAAAAGGAAATCTGTTTTAGCATTTATTTGATACCTTGAATGCTAAAAGACTTACTGGATAACTGTTCAACATTGTTGGTTAGTTAGAGAGTTAGTTAGTTAGAGAGTTAGTTTGCTAGTTAGAGAGTTAGTTAGTTAGTTAATTAGTTAGTTAGTTAGAGAGTTAGCTTGCTAGTTAGTTGTTAGTTAGTTAGTTAGTTAGTTAGTTAGAGAGTTAGTTAGTTAGTTAGTTAGTTAGTTAGTTAGTTAGAGAGTTAGCTTGCTAGTTAGTTAGTTAGTTAGTTAGTTAGTTAGTTAGAGAGTTAGTTAGTTTGTTATTTAGAGAGTTAGTTAGTTAGTTAAAGAGTTAGTTAGTTAGTTAGTTAGTTAGTTAGTTAGTTTGCTAGGTAGTTAGTTAGTTAGTTAGTTAGTTAGTTAGTTAGTTAGTTAGTTAGTTAGTTAGTTAGTTAGTTAGTTAGTTAGTTTGCTAGGTAGTTAGTTAGTTAGAGAGTTAGTTAGTTAGTTAGTTAGTTAGTTAGTTAGTTAGTTAGTTAGTTAGTTAGAGAGTTAGTTAGTTAGTTAGTTAGTTAGTTAGTTAGAGAGTTGTTAGTTAGTTAGTTAGATAGTTAGTTAGTTAGTTAGTTAGTTAGTTAGTTAGTTTGCTAGGTAGTTAGTTAGTTAGTTAGTTAGTTAGTTAGTTAGTTAGTTAGTTAGTTAGAGAGTTAGTTAGTTAGTTAGTTAGTTAGAGAGTTAGTTAGTTAGTTAGTTAGTTAGTTAGTTAGTTAGTTAGTTAGTTTGCTAGGTAGTTAGTTAGTTAGTTAGTTAGAGAGTTAGTTAGTTAGTTAGTTAGTTTGCTAGGTAGTTAGTTAGTTAGAGAGTTAGTTAGTTTGCTAGGTAGTTAGTTAGTTAGTTAGTTAGAGAGTTAGTTTGCTAGGTAGTTAGTTAGTTACTTGCTTACCTACTTACTTTCTTACTTTCTTATTTACTTACTTACTTAGCTAGTAAGCTAGCTAGTTGGCCAGCTAGTTAATTAGTAGGCTCAAAATGCTTCTTTCTAGTATAACTAGTAGATTTTGGACCTTACTAGTTAACATGTCAGAGATTTTGCTGTATTTCAGTGTTTAACTAATACACTAGTTCTGTCAAAGACCGCACTACTACTATCTAATTAAATGCTCAAAGGACTTTCCACTCTGTTTACCGCTGCATCTTAGCAATGCAGGAATGAAAATCTACAACTTCTGACTACACCATGCTCTGTCGTGAACCTAGTTTATCAAACCAGTTCACAGAAACATCTTACTTCATTTATCTTTGCAGCATTTCAAGAGTTGTGTTAAAGTTAGCTTGATGATTTAATGAAACCAGACTAATATGACCAAGAAAACAAAGAACTGTGCTCAGAAAATGATCACTTCTTGAATTATTGCTCCGTGTGTTCATGCAAAATGTGTTTGACACCCTGAGTGCATGACAATAAGCTGTTCCTCATTTGTATGTTTTTTGTGTTTGCTACAAAGTCAGAAGGTGTTAATTTACTCTCTCTGGCTTTTGTTTTATTGCATGTCTGAGTGGAAAGGACAAGTTATCGGACAGATGCAGACACAAAATGACAAAGACGAGACAGTGAAACAATCTGTATAAATACCTGAAAGAAACAAAGAAAGAAACAAAAAAAAAAAAGACGGGCCGACTGAAGTGTTTTCCCAAAACCACAACACTAAACAGAGCCGGAGTGGGAAAGCCTTGAGCTGTATTTTGGGAAATTGGGCGTGTTGGAATGCTATAATGTGATAATTCTTTTTGAGGACTTAGAGGTCATGGAATGAAATGGCGTTAAACCACGTAGAGCCATTTGGGCTGGTGTTGGGGCTGCTTTTGGAAAATACATGTGGTGTTTGTTGGCTTGGTTTCCTCCACCTCCTTCCACTCTGCCACGGAGGCCACATTATGCTGTCGAACCCTTGGGTTAAACTGGCCATGTCTATCAAAACACTGTGACAGCACGTTCTGTTTTCACGTACCAAGTTCTGCTAAAAAAAAAAAAGTGCGTAGCAAATTTAACTGGTAGAATAACATTTGCTCCATGCCACATGTTTAAGAGTGTTTCACAGTGAATGAACTAACTCCATGGTCCCCCTCTTTAAGCACAGCTTGGTAGCTACGTCAGCGGGTATAAATGTTCCTCGGATGTCACTTAGATTTCGCCTGGATCAAGTATTTGACTTGATTTTCTAGCATGAGCACACGTTTTTTTTTCTCTCCCCACATCCTTCTGCGTATAATGTAAAGCAGACTGCATTGTAGGGTGGCTTGAGCCAGCTCCGGGGTCCCATGAGTCTCTGCACACAGGGTAACGGTTCTTCAAGGGAATGAACAGTGACAGAGCCAGGAAAGTCCTCAAGTGGATC